CTTTCCCCACAGTCATGGTTTCAGCATTGTTTTCTCCTAGTCCTCAATCTAGGCCTCTAAAAAAAGTAATTGCTAATCCCTTGTCTGTAGCTACTCAACCAGACATGGACGTACCCAATCTCACAAGCTTTGAAAGGCTGGAACTGTACCAGTTTGACAAGGACCTCCTTAAACACTGACAGTTCATCTATGGCTATACATAGTCACCACTGTCCATCATGGCAGTGAGGACAATGATTCATGTACCTTCACACCAGATATCCAAGAAGTGTGTGTCCACTTACACTACACAAACGGATCTCAAAACTAGACTGTTACCTCAAAACTCAGTATATTTGGGCAAGTTACAGTTTGAAAACCTGCTTCCCCATGTTACTCTTAAACAACAACGAGCACACAGGCCTGACCCTCAGAAATACTAACTTCATTATCATGCTCTCACAAGCCTAGCAGAAGGGGGAAAGGATCACTCAAACTATCCCTATTTATCCATGCCAGCTGTGCACATTTCAACACTAGTTTGACCACCACAAACAGAAAAATTGGCATGTCTGCTTATTCCTTCACCTTAGAACATCAAAACTGTGTACTTCTCTAAGTAGGACTTTTAAAAATGTACTGCATGAGTCCACTTTCAAAAGGAGAGAAAAAAAAAAGGAGACCTGAATTTCATAAGTATAATTGGTTACCACTGCCTTTAAGGTCACCAAAAGCTACAAATGCTTGGATAAGAAAACTACTCATTGTTATCATAACAGCACAGGTATCTAGTATCAGCTCCACCATGTGAACCTCATCCAGTTTTCAGATTACATTTCTAAATCGAAAGCTCTAGTTTAGTGTTTTTAAAAAGGAAAACAATTCTAAGCTTCTTATTCACCACCAAACTACATCTTCAACATCCCCACATAGAGTGGCAAAATGGTTAGAGTTAAGATTTATTTTTTGTCTTTCTCCCCTCAAAACACTTCGTAAGTGAACTGCACTACCCAGTTAAGCCACTGGATAGCATGAAGGGGCAAACAATTGTGCATGAGGATACTTGAAAAAGCAACCATATACTAGCACTACTGGTTAGCTATTGATCCACAGACTTCAAAGAACACAGGGCAGGATTGCATGCCAAGATTCTTTTTTCCTTCCAAATGCTTTCCAGAAAACAAAGGTACAGGTATTTAATTTCAGAAACATAAGGTTTATCATCTTTCCATCAACCATACTGTATTTTAACAACTGTGAAGAGACCTGTTCAATCCATTAAGTTAGTTTTCCCCCCTTCTTTCTCCCCACAAGGATCTTGGACATTCATGAACCATATCTAAAACTAGAATGACAGATTAAAAAGAATTAAACACCTTTCACTACCTAAAGCCATTTAGGCATTTTGTACTGAGGCAGATAGAAGCCCACTCTATCTGGGCAAGGAACTGCATAGAAAACTCTTGTCTCAATCCAGAGAAAGCCTAGCCTGCTCTCCAGTTTCAAAACATACCTTGAAACTAGCTTATGTCAATACATCTCTTGCTGTCTTAAAACACCGGCTATTGCTTAGAGCTCTGATGCTTATTAAAATTGGTTGGCACTCAGAACTGGGGATGCAAGAACTGATGTCAGGTCCTTAACAGAAGCCTCTGCTAATCATGACGAACTGATGTCAGGTCCTTAACAGAAGCCTCTACTAATCATGACTGTTTTTTTACCTGACTTTAAAAAAACCAACAAACTGAACTCTTGAGCATTTCTAAAGAAGTTGCTTTCCAGAAGGAGGGTGAGGAAAGAAGGGTGAGGGTGACCCAACACCTGTCTGCAGTTATTTCAAGGGCAGTTATGAAGATCAGAGCCAAACTCTTCTTGGTAGTGCCAGATAAACAGCAAGAGGCAAAACTGTCAATTTTAGTTGAGAACTCTCAGAGTGGACATAAAGGAAAAAGTTGTTTGCTAGAAGAGCAATGGAACACTAATAGGTTATCCACAGTGGTCAAGGTATCCCTGCCCTTGAAGGTTTTCAAGATTTGGCTGGATAAAGGCACGACTAGCCCATGACCTTGTGTTAGCAGCAATCTCACTGCTAACACTAGGAGAGCAGGGGATTAGGCTAGAAAACTTCCTGGAAATCCCTTCGAAGAATCACAGAATCCTAGGGGTTGGAAGGGACCTCGAAAGATCATCTAGTCCAACTCCCCTGCCAGAGCAGGGTCACCCAGAGCACATCACACAGGAACGTGTCCAGGCGGGTTTTGAAAGTCTTCAGAGAAGGAGACTCCACAACATCTCTGGGCAGCCTGTTCCAGTGCTCTGTCACTCTCACAGTAAAGAAGTTTTTTCTGATATTCACCTTGAACCTCCTGTGCTCCAATTTGGACCCATTACCCTTTGTCCTATCACTAGACATCACTGAGAAGAGCCTGGCTCTGTCCTCCTGACACTCGCCCTTAACATATTTGTAAACATTGATGAGGTCACCCCTCAGTCTCCTTTTCTCCAAGCTAAAGAGACCCAGCTCCCTCAGCCTTTCCTCATAAGGGAGATGTGCCACTCCCTTAATCATCTTCGTAGCTCTGCGCTGGACTCTTTCAAGCAGTTCCCTGTCCTTCTGGAACTGAGGGGCCCTTGAACTGGACACAATACTCCAGATGTGGCCTCACCAAAGCAGAACAGAGGGGGAGGAGAACCTCTCTTGACCTACTAACCACACCCTTTCTAATGCACCCCAGGATGCCGTTGGCCTTCTTGGCCACAAGGGCACATTGCTGGCTCATGGTCATCCTCCTGTCTACCAGGACCCCCAGGTCCCTTTCTCCTACACTGCTTTCCAGCAGGTCAGTCCCCAACTTATACTGGTAAATGGGGTTGTTCTTCCCCAGATGCAAAACTCTACACTTGCCCTTGTTGAATTTCATTAAGTTTCACCCTGCCCAACTCTCCAGCCTGTCAAGGTCTTGCTGAATGGCAGCACAGCCTTCTGGTGTGTCAGCCACCCCTCCCAGTTTAGTGTCATCAACATGATGACAATTCCATGATTCTGTGATCTGGTATTTTATATAGTGGATATGGTACAAGAAAACAGATAGTGGAAGTTTTCACTGTTCCACTTTAGTTACTATCCACAGGTAGTAACAAAGTAGAGAGGGAAAAATGCCAATACTGACCTAAGTTTAAAAAAAGAGTGTAAAAGAAAGGGGTAAAAAAACCAAGCAATATTTCTAGATATATTCTAAGAGTAAACATTTCAGAAGAGTCTGCAGACACCTTTCAGGGAGACATTTCTCAAAAATTCTTGACAGAAGTCCTTGTCTTCTTCTTTTTTCCTTTTCTTTTTGCCTATCTGTTCCCCTCCATATAAACACTCAGAGAATTTCATCCTATGTTATTACTCTGCCGTTTCTGTAAAATTAAGCAGGTGTGTCAGCTAGGAGGACTATTTTTTTTAACATAAAGATGTCTGCATTGCAATAAAAGCACTATGTACTATGAAAACTAAGCTTCCCCAGAGAAGGTAATCCACTTGAGCAAAAGTGATACACCTTAGGTTGAACTTAAGAAATAAATAAAATAACAGTCATACTGTGTTTCTGCTTTTCATGCAGTGTCACTCTGCAGGTATCAGCATGGTAGAAGTTAACTGTTTTCAGTTGTGGTCTCAACTGGAAGTGCAAGTCTGGAATTAAAAGCGCTACCATTTTGAATGTCAGAGAGGTGAACTCTGAGAATCTAGAGGAGATGCAGTCTTCTTCCAAAGGGCTTGAAGAAGATACATCATCTAGTCTTCACAGGAAGGTACTTGTAATATTCATTAGTGGTTTATAGTGGCTTAGGCTGGAAAGAGATGACAAGGACACGGACTGCAATAAAATTAACACAACAAACTGAAGCTGTAACCACTAGTGGTCATCAGACACACAACTCAGAATGACAATTCACTGTCTACATTTAGGGGCAAAAAAGCAGTGCTGTAAGGAATTCAGCACCCTTAGCCAACATGGGAGTTACAGAAAGCCACATTTAATTACTCATTTGTTTATAGCATTAAAAATTTAAGACACTGAAAACTTTTTTCTAACTTTTCCATATCCAAAAGCTAGAAAATCTTTCCCATACTATCTATATTCATACTGTGTTTCATGCCTTTAACCAAGCATAAGTTACTAGGCTATTTACCTTTTCATTCTCAATAGGTACTTCATAGCCATACTTTTCTCCTGCAAACATCTGTCTCTAAATACTCTCACACTAAGGTAAGTGTCAGCAGCTTTAACTGCAAAAACACCAAAAAAGAGAGAATGAGCTTCAACAACACAAACAAAAATCACACCCAGCTGTTTTACAATTGAAGCTGTGTGTTGAAGGACTCCATGCCTCACAGTTTGCAGGTAG